ATAAAAATCCAATTAGCTACCTGTATTTACAATCCCATGTGTATTATACATGTATATTAACTCAAAATTTTGAAACTTTAAATGTTTATATCTAATAAGCTAATAAAGTTATATTAAAAATTCAAATGCCATTTACTATTAAATTAAAAACTCAAACATTTGATTAAATTAAAAATATGTATTACCATTTAAAAAAACAAAGTTGACCCCCCTCCAAGGCATAAGAGATGAACTTAAGAAGTATTACATAGTTAAAAATTCAAGAATAATGTGTAACTAAAGATAATAATAAAAAAAAATGTTTAAATTATTATTATTCTGCAAGTAATTGAGTGGGTTATGATAAAAAAATCACCCTGTATATCAGGTTTTTTTACTCGATTCGATATTACAAAAAAAAATCTGATTAAATAAACACACTATATATTTTTTAAGGACATAAAACTATAATAATTTTATAAATATCGAAAAAAATTGTTATTGATCCAACCCAAATAATAGGATTTATTTTAATATACTATTATAGATAATGCCTTTAAAATATGAAAATATTGTTCTACAAGTTGAAAGTTAATTTGAAAATTATTTAATTCCACTTTTATTTAATGAAAGTTTCAAACCTACTCACAATATTAAATTAATAAAAGTAAATTATTGCTAATCAACGAATTTATTAAATCAATTTTCTGACAAAAAAAGTTTTTAATTTCAACAATTTCCTTACCATACTAGTAGAATATCGTTTATTAAAATTCCTTGTTTTTTTTAATCTATTTGCTATAAATGGCGTGAATAGTTCTGGATCAACCACTCGGTTCGAATCATAAAACATTGCGCTTACTATTAATCCTACTATGAAAGTGACAGCAAATCCCAAAACAACATAGTACATGTAACTTATACGATATATATAAAAATAACTGTCTTCTGATCTAAAATTGAGAACAAATTTTATTGATGTATTTTATTTGCTAGACATACATTACTTATTATTAGATAAAGTTGAATTTAATAGTGTAATGACAGTTTCATTCAATACCGTACATCCACTTATAGTTCTATGTAAGGATTTGATAGCAGGTTTTGGTCCACCAAAGCAAAGAATAGAAGAAAATATGAGGCCCAAAGTGAGCCCAGTTAATGAACCCTAAAGTTAAGAATTTTATGACTAACATTTCTGATCTAACTACGTATATATTTAATCAACTTAAAATTGTATAACACTAACTTTTTCATTTGCATATGGTATTAACATTCCAAGCGTAAAAATAGCTACAACTGGACCTCCAAACACACCCGTTAATGTTAAAGACATTTGTAAAAGAGATCCGAAATATTTTATGAAAAAACTCAGTAAAATAAATAAAATACCATAAGAGACAACCAATAATTTTAAGTAAAATACTTTTTGCTTGTCAGTTAACTCATCCTTAATAAATGGCTAGAAAACAATTAAACTAAAAGTATTAAATGCAAAAAGATCTTAAATTGTTAAAACAAAAAAAACAAAACGAAAAGAAAGTATTGTATACATTTATGTAATCTTCTAATGAAATAGCAGCCATTGAATTAATAACTGGTGATACAGAACTTAATCCTGACGACAGTACGCCAGCAACAAATAAGCCTGTCATTCCTGGAATGTTTCCCATTGTATCCATCACATACAATGATAGTAATTGATCATCTTTTATAATACGTCCAGACCTTTAATTAATTTGTTTCCAATTTACTTTGTGGATTTTTTAGTGTTAAATATGTACGATTACTTAAATAATTTAACTACTTGACTGGATCACAGTTATGATATTTTGAATAGATAGCCAAGCCAGTGAAACATTTTGAATATGATATTATTAATAAAATTGGTAAACTAAGCCAAACGCATTTGATTGCTGATGTTTTATCTTTCATGGTAAGATATTTTTGAACTTGAACTTGGGTAATACCATTCATAGAATAAATTAAAATTCCTCCTAATGTCAAATTTAACCATGTATGTCTTTCTGTTGGATCTATGTTAAAACTGTAATAAAAATTATTTGACTTATATAGTATATATTTTTATAAAAATATGTGGGAGGTATTCAAGGTTCTGAAATTACCATTATAATAATTATAACAATTTTTTTTTTATTAAACTCCGTATATTTTTTAAGCAGTGCATCTAAAAAAAAATTATTTTTTCATAAAAATGTAGTACAATATTTGGTAATGAAATTATGATCATAATACTTGATTAGTATTTTATTGATTTTGTATGATTGTTGGGATTATTGTTATTATTCATTTAACGCCAAAAAAACATTTGAAATTAGACACTATAACCTAAGTAAGCATAAAGGATAATGATATTTTACTTCGTAAATAATGAACTCTATGGTGACTCAAAAATTATCTTCCTCAAACTTTTTTTTTCCTTTATTAATACAGTAGAACTCCAATTATCCGAATTAATGGGGACCGGGACCCATTCACTGACTAATCAAAACAAACAATGACAGGTGACTGCAATGCGCCGGAACTGGAGTGGGAACTCTTACCACGTGTTGTGCCTACATTGACGCCGCGGACTTTGGACAAATTTTTTTCTGATTTTTTCTGAAAGTGATTCGGATAATCGGCGATTCGGATGGTCGGAGTTCGGATAATTGGAGTTCTACTGTATATACACAATCTGTTCCCTATAGGTACAATAAGAGTATTAGCTAAAATAATTATAACATTGAATACTTGATAAAAGAAGCCACCCATTTATGACACTTTTAACTCCTCAAACTTAAAATAAAATTTTATGGTGTGACACTAACCGAGTATACAATATTTCGGCTTTAAAACTTCTTTAATTAAATATATTCTAATAAATTACAAAAAAAAAAAAAAAAATCACACAATTTTTAACCAAATTATATAATAGTAAATATTATTTTTTTTATGTCAAAATTTTATATAAGTTATACTTCTTTAACTAGATACGTAAGTTGTTAAAGAGCAATTTATACTTATATATTATTCGTTACATGGGTGATCCTACAATAATTGTTTGATTATTTATAACAATGCGGACAATAGCCAAAAAAATACAATATGTATTTGACAGCATATTGATCAACTTAAAATTACCATATAAACTTAAAAATAAGAACATAATTAAACAAAAGTAAACTTAGTAAGGAAAAAAAAANAAATTTTGATCACACATAAAGTAAACTAAGTAAGGAAAAAAAAATAAAAATAAACACAAAAAATATATTAATTAAGACAAGTACAAAATATAAACATGATCAAAATTTATATCTTAAATAGAATAGCTAAATGACTAAATTAAAAATGACGAGAGTGCAAAAAATTAAGGTCATTATTTGCAGTGCGCATTAGACGTAGGAGAGCGGAATGAAGTATTTAATTAGAAGAGAAAAGAGGAATGAGAAAAGGGGCAATAATACGAGTTGAACGAGCAGGAACCCGAAAGTTTCAAAGTTCTTACTTTGAAAGGGGAATCAATTAAACTAACTGAGAGTTTAGAAAGAAAACGGATATAGGAATCATATCTTCTGTCAGATAAACAAGGAATTTGCAAGAAATTTTAAATAGGAGTTAAGTCATGAGGTGGATAGGTGATATTAAAGATAAAAGCAGCAAAGTACAAAAATGTACGCTGGACTCTTTCGAGCATCATAGAGTCTGTAGCTGTGTAAGGATCCCATAATACCGAACCATATTCGAGAATAGGGTAAAATAACGAACAAAAAAAACTTTTTCGAAGTTTTGAGAGATGAAATTATCAATAAATAAAATTAATTTATAATTATATTTAATAGACTTTTAATAATATACACATACTTATTTAGTTCAATACGGCCATCATGTTTAGCAATACTCCAAATTTCTGATAAGCCACCTGTTTCATACATAGCAACTCCAATTACTGCGAATATTGAGCCTAAAATAATGATCACCTGGAATTTATTTTAAACTTTATATCCATTAGGTTTTCAAGTTTTAAACTTAAACTGTTAAATTAAATAATTACTTGAAACATGCTTGTTACTATAATTGCCTTGATACCACCAATTGCCGAATAAACTATACAAACTACACCGACCAAAACAATAGAAAACTCAAGAGAAACCCCAATTATAGTTTCAAATGTGAGAGCTGGAGCATACAGCATTATAGCCATATATAAAACTGTTTTTATACTAAATGCTATGGAAACAGTAGTTCTAGTTAGTCTTCCAAACCGTTTCTCTAAATACTGTGGATATTAATATTATAATTAAAGTAATGAAATTACCTTGTTCAATCAACTATATATTTATTGACATGTTAAAATCTTTTTGAAATACTCTATCAAGATAATAAAATAGCTCATTAAAATAAAATGATTATTTATTTTATAAATACATCGAAATTTACATTTTATTTCTTAATAGAAATGTGAATAGAAAGTATTAAGCATTCATTTTTATTATAATTTATTGATATTATTAACATTTGTAATTTTTATTTGATTTTTTAAAATAATTTTTACTGCATTATAGTATTTTTTTTATTTATTCAAATAGTAAAAACCTAGAAATTTCAATTTGCCATTATTCTATTTTTGTATAGTAAACGAATTTAAATATATTTTAAGCTAATCAAATGTTAAAATTATTTTGCGGTAAATTATATTCTAACATTTATTTTATTTTATTTTATTTATTTATATTAACGGGTATAAAACCCTTTAGAAAAATACATCTTACAGTGCAAATATAACAATAGACAGTAGAAAAAATATTGTAATATGTACATGACAATTAATAACAATAACAAATAGCAAAAATTAATAGTAACAGTATTCAAATTATAATATTATATTATGCATATTAAATGGTATACCATTTAATAAAATCATTAAAAATGTAAAACAAACAAATAATTGATGTAGTTCTATGCATACACTTTGCTTAAAAAAATCACGTGACATTAAAAAAAATCTAAATTTTCGGCAATAAGATTGGCTAAAGATAAAGTCCTTGGAAAAAAAGATGCGGAACTATAATTGTTTTTATAAAATGGAACATAGAACAAATTAGATTTTCTTAAACTACAATTTGGTGTTATAAAACCAATCATAGATAACAGTTCAGGGAAATCAATAAATCCATTTAACAAGTCATATAAGAACATAACATCTGCAATATTTCTCCTTAATTCACAAGACGTGAATCCCAGTTGGAATATTTGCAAGTTATTAGATAAATTTAATTTATAACTCAATAACTTAAAAAATTTGAAATCAACATTCTCAATTGAATTCCTGTAAGAAAAATAACTCGGTGACCACATAACTGAACTAAATTCAAGATGAGATCTAACTAGTGAAAAATTAATTGTTTAAATGTATTAATATTTTTAAAATCTTGTGTGCCTATTTATGAAACCCAATATAGGAAAAGCATTTTTTATAATATTATCCATGTGTAATGAAAAAGACATTTTGGAATCAATAGTAATCTTTAACTGAAGTAACTTTCATAATGGTGTAATCATCAATTTTATAATTAAAAGTAATTGCATTATTTGAGCGATAAAAAGTTATAACACTGCGTTTACTTATATTAATAGGTAGACAATTAAGTTGACTCCAAGTAACAAATCTATCTAAATTTAACTTTAAGCTTGAGTACAATAACTAATATAGGATTTAATTCACTCTAAAAATTTATCATGAAAACCAAATAAAACTAATTTATTTAGGAGAAGTGTATGATTAACTTTATCAAAAGCCTTTTGAAAATCAGTATAAATTGAATCTATTTGAACGTGATCATTGAGAGCAGCAAGTATTTTAGACTGATAATGCAATACATTAGTAGAAACGGACATCTTGGGCCTAAACTCATGCTGGTTATTACAAATGTAAGGGGAGAAAACTTTGGATAATTTCTTAGTTATAATTGCTTTAAAATTTTTTGAAATAAAAGACATTTTGCAAATAGGCCTATAATTTAAAACATTATGCCTATCCCCTGATTTATGAATTGGTATAATAAAAGATTTTTTCCGAATATCAGGGAAATAGCCTGGACTTAAAGACTTATTAAAAATAAAATGCAAAGGTTTAACTAGTACTGAATTACATAATTTTAGAAACACTGATGGAACACCATCAGGTCCAGTACCTGCGTGAGTATCTAAACTATTTAATAAATCAAATATTTCATTCTGATCAATATTCCAAGAACTAAGATTAATATTAAAAATATTCATTGAAGCTACATTTAAAATTTGGGACTTTATGTTATGGTTCATCGAATCAGCAACATAAACACTTGAAAATTAATTAGCAAATAGTTGGACAGTTTCAGAAGTATTAGTAGATGAGAGGTTATCATATTTAACACAATCGGGTACAATACTATTCGATTTTCAAAAGGAATTAAAATATTTCCAAAAAGGTTTTATATTTGATTGAATACTATTAGCTTCGATGCGAAGCTGAGAAGGTATTGGTTTTACTAAGATGTGTTTTTTTTTTTTTTTTTTTTGTGTCTGTTACCACTTTTTCTCAGCTCTCACCGAACCGATTTCTTTCAATGATACGTCAAAAGATCACAAATTGTATCTAGTCGAAGACATTACCCTCAAAAATTGAAAAAAATTCCCTCGTTCCCCGTAAATGGGGGAAACCTCCAAAAAAATTACAAATTTAAAAATCGCTAATTTTCGAAATTTTTTCAATTTTTTTTAATTAAAAGTGCCATAACTTTTTCAAAAATAAACTTAGCAATATAATTCTTTTTTATATAGATGTGTAATATCATTACCTTTCATTTGGTATATTTTTTTCATAAATTTAACACTTAACCTACCCACAAGGGGGGATTTAAAATGACAACTTTTTCACAAAAAATTAACTTTTTCAACTTAACTTTTGAAAATGTTCCGGAAGGTCTGACACTTTTATATATATCTTAAATTAAAGCTAATGTAATATACTTTATAATGGTAAAAAAAAATTTCGGACTTTATTTTATCTTCATGGTGAAAACAGGCATTAAGTGCNCTTTATTTTATCTTCATGGTGAAAACAGACATTAAACTTAATAAAAAAAATACGATTTTTGTAAAAAAATTCTTTTTTATATTTTTAACTTTATAATGCTATAACTTTTTGAAAGATGTATGGATCAATATAATTCTTTTTTTTGTAGATGCATGATGTCTTAACCTATCATTTGGTATATATTTTTTTTATATCTAACCCTTTACNTTACCTATCATTTGGTATATTTTTTTTATAAATCTGACTTTTTACCTGCCTACAGGGGGGGATTCAAAATGACAACTTTTTCACAAAAAATTTACTTTTTCAACTTAAATTTTGAAACTGTTCCGGAAAGTCTGACACTTTTATTTATATCTAAAATTAAAGCTAATGTAATATACTTTATCATGGAAAAAAAAAATTTCGGACTTTATTTTATCTTCAAGGTGAAAATGGCTACCAAATGCTATTATTGTGTGAAAATTCTCAATTTTATTTTTTACATTTTTAACATTATAATGCTATAACTTATTGAAAAGTGTATTGATCAATATAATTTTTTTATGGGAAATACTATTTTCTAATAATCTCTTTTTTATTCGACATACTTTGTCTTAATCAGGATATTAATAAGGAACTAGCAGTTTATGAAGCTTTTGGAATAATCCACCAATTTTTTAAAATTAAACACTATCTAAAGATTTGCATCGAAGCGTTTTTTTTTGATAGTGATTTTAATCACTGTCAGATATCATTATACTTGATCCAACTATGCCACGTCACCACTGTGCCGCGACCCCCCTGTGCTGGGTTTTTAATATTAATAACATGTTGGGAATGACAAATTGAAATAAGAAAAAAATGTTAGAAAGAAAATAAGAAATATCCTTAAAATTACAATTATTAAAATTATATACCTGAGGTGACACAATGAAAACAGTTTCCGATGAATCGTTAAATATTATAATAATTTCTAAAGGAGGGTGATACTTATCAACATTTGGAACAAGGTATTCAAAGGAACGAGTAATAGAAGTAAGTTCTGCATCAGCACTAAGCCACATACAGTCAAGAGTACGACCAATACTATTTTGAATGCAGTTAACTTGTTTTAAGTTTAATAAATTTACATAAGAATTAAATAACATGCTTCCTGTGATGTGATCCTGAGTATTCGGATCAGTAGTCTAATCAAAACTATTTAAATTAAAATCACCAGAAATAATGAAATTATTAGAATACATTTCCATAGTTGCATATGGTGGAATATAGACACAGCCTAATTTTATATTGTTAAGATTAATTTTTAAAAATATTTGCTCAATTCCATCAACAATAGGGACATGTAACAATTCACAACATATTTTTTTTTTTTACAGCAATTAAAACCCCTCCATCACGCGATTTGCCATTAGACAGAGTACGATCAACTCTGTATAAATTATAATAAGTAAAACCAAGTTCCGCATCAAAAACATTGTTATTTAGCCACGTTTCGTTTAAGCAAATTATATCATAGTTTACATTTAATAAAGCATTACGTAAAAATGGAATCTTAGTTAAAAGACCACGGACATTTTGGTAAAAAACATTAATTATAAAAAATTTTGATCACACATATTAACTGAACGATTATTCTTAGAAATAATTACCGGCATCCCTCTCGCATACTTTATAACTAAATCAATTTCCCCATTATTTCTACGAATCTCCAAATCATTACGAAGTTTTTTCAAATGATTTCTTTGATGTAACGTACGATCTGAACTGATACGAATGACTGAAGGCGGTTACAATGATAATCATTTTTTTTTAGATTTTAAAATATCAAACAAATCAGCTGACGAATAAAATACTGCCTTAATAGGACGGATTTTATTATAATTACGATTACCTAATCGCATAACTTTTAATGGTTTAATGTTATTATTCCCACTAATAATGGAATCAATAGCATTACACACATAAATAGAATCGTGTGCTAATCTATCCACCGAGATATCTGAATTGGACTCTGGAATATTGTATAGTATTAAGTTGGAAACTCTTAGATTTCGCTCACTTATCTCGCCAATTATGAATTCCTCTGAATAAATCGACCCATTATTGGTATCTTTTTAATTTTTAAGATCGTTAACTTCCACTATTAATCGATTTATTAACAACTTTAAATCAGGGATCTCACGTAAACCATTGTTTCACGCTTCACAAAAAAATTTCAAACTGCGATTTTTTAAAGAAAGGCATTTGATTTCATTTACAGTTAATCCGACACATTTATATGAATAGATAAACTACAGCCATCGCATTTAATGGGAGAATCAAGTTCGGCAAAACCAATATTATATTTAAAGCAAGTATCACTATTAACCATCAATATATTAGTATTTAAGTTAGACTAGAATGAAAAGACAAAACTACTGCACATATCCACACCATACGACAGCACAATGATAACTGTGTTTTATTATAGCAGTTTTTATTTGATTTGTGTAGAGAAAACCTAATAAACTATAGTATAAATAATGATAAACTGACAATAATAGGATATCATTAAATGTTAAAAACTTTTTGGTCATGTTATTGATTAAATTAACTTTTGCTGTTATTTTCTTTTTTTCTCTGCAAAAGTTTAGTATTATTTTCATAAATTTCAAAGAACCCAAAGCTATTACAAATTATCTCTGTTTGCAATACAGTTCTAGTTTGCCATTCGTCCAACGTATTATTTTATTTTATTATTTTTTATACAGGTATTTTAGTATCTGATTCATATAAACAGCAAACAGACATTGGCTGGTTATTTTTCAATAACGAAGGACCATTTATCAACTAGCACCCATCAAAGGAATTTTTTTTTCCTTTTAAAGTGTTTAATGGAGACGACTTTTCGTCTTAATCAAAATTTTTACAAGCGTAACTTAACATTTAATACATAGTGTTAAAGTAAGATAAGGTATAATAAACAGTGTCTGCTAGTGAAGTGTCTCTGAACAAATATAAAAAAGTAAAATTTACATAATAGACTAATATTTACTAAAAGGCTTATCGTTAAGTATTTACATCTACCAATGTTTCGCTTTGTTATTAATTAAGGTCGAATTGAATGTATTTCAATATATAAACCTCTATAGTTATTTTAGCTATTTTTTGTGTAACATTATCTAATACTAATAATATATTGCTGAGTGAAGGATTGTTTTACAATACTCTTGTTTTTGTGCTATTACTACCACTGTCTTTCTTGATTGTTTGAGCAAATGTAATGCCATTTTTCACGTGCGTAAGTTTATTCGACTGCACACGTTAAACAACAGATATTTTTAATGGGTTAGCTTTTAATTGTGCCACCTATAAGGTGAACAGCATTTCCAGTAAGCTGTATGATTTTCATCACACTTCGTTTTATTATTTTTAGACTGAGAACAACCTATAGATTTAATAGCTAGAATCATAGTATTTTTTTAATTTAACCATTATTTTTCTTAGAAGAATGAAACATTGGTCAGATTAACAAATGTTTTGTTAAATCAACAAAATTACTGGTTCAGCTAATAAAAAAAACACTATTTATTTAACAAAAACATTATTGGACTTACATTGATAAAAAAATGTGTTGATTTTACTATAGACTTTTTTCAGAGTAGCTAAGGTTTTTAAGGTTTAGTTGCTCATTGTCTTTTGGTTCTTCTACCGTCTAATTGATCATTAATTTTTTATCATACTTACATATATGTATTCTTTACAAACATACATACTGTAAACGATTGTTCAGAAATTTTCGAGATTTTTCTCGCAATTTCTTTCGTAATTTTGATAGTTATTTTAGTCACACTCGAAATTTCTTTTGAAGTTCCTTGTCACATTTTTTAAATATCTGTTTTTGTAATTTTGTATTACTATCTTGAAGTTTACTTATTTTTTAATATTTCATTGTATCTTGCATTTGTTTTAAAATACATAAGCTGATTTTTACGTAAATATACAGCGGTTGCCATTTTGTCCATTGCAATATTCATGTTACTAAAATTTTATCTATTGCATGACAAACAAATGCATTTGTACTTAATATGTATTTTTTTAATTTAATGACAAACACTACACGTTATATGTGTATATCACGATAAAAACATGTTGCTTTTTTGGCTATCAAGTAGCAACAAGGGCAAACATTATGATGCAAGTATAATACTTTTTTTTATCTAAATTATTCTAATTAGGTAGGTAGGTAACGTATGATAGATACATAATTATTTAATATAATCAAATTAATTTAATTAATATGGCGATATTTAATATTGTCGTTATTAATAGTTTCGCTACCATTTTTGATATAACATAAACTTGTTTATGTAATAAAATGATTTAAATTTAAAGGAATAATTATTAGTTTAAAAAGTTTGGCACAAATTTATGAATTCATTTTTAAATTTTATGTATTAAAAGTAAAATGAACAGTTACAAGATTCGTGTTTTCACAATTTTTAGTAAATAACTAATTGAATAATAATTTTAGAAAAGTATACTTATTAAACATGTTATTTTCATTTCTGTATTAAATATATTTATAAATTGAAGATATTTTACTTTTATAAAAAAACATTTCATTAAACAAATAAAAAATAGTTTGAAAATGTATTTGATAGTTGTATAACTTTAAATATTCTTATCATGTATGCATTAGTTCACTATTTTGGGATTGAGCCTAAATGCCCGTCAACAGTATTCTAAGAGACCAACGGGAGATAGCTGACTAGGCCATATCTACCTTAGGTACTGAGGTTTCCTATTTAATTTATATAACACTCTTGATAAATAATGATATAAATGTTTATAAAGCAAAGAAATATTAAATAAGCAATAACACCTGCTGGATACCTAGAGATGATAATAATACAACAGGGGCTGACGATGATACACACACACACACACACACTATCTTGGTAATAACAAATATAAGTTAAAATATAAGACAACAAAATTAATGGTCGCGATGATGGTAAAAAGTTAACTACTGTTCGGGACACAATAAATCATTAAAAAAATATAAATTAGTAATGAAACATAAATAATCAATTTTAGCGAGAAAAATTTAATGCATTAATTTCATTTATTTACTATAGGAATTCATTCTAATAAAATAAAAATATTATATTCTCAGTATTAATTATATTCGCATCGTTGTTAAAAGCACAATGATTTTATTTTTTGAATTTTAACACATTGTTTGTCAGTATTGGTAGATAGGAACTCATAATCAATGTGATACACAAAAAAAAAAAACATAGAAAATTGTAACGTTGTAAAATTAAAAATAATCCATTAAAAACACAATTTAAATTTCATTAATGCTTAAAATTCTTTTGTTATTCGTTTTTTTCTACTTTTATGCTGTAATTGGCACTGCAAATATAATAAGTGTGCATACATTTTTAGTAAACATAGTTCAAATTTTTAATTATTTCTTTATGTTTATAAATATAGTCGATTTATTAATCCGAGGTATTAATGACAATAAATGAAAATACGTTTGATATATTCTTTTTTAAAATTAAACTTACTTCGTATACAGAGAGTTTCCCTAGTTTGAAAAATACAGGCAGAAAAACGTATGTTATTATTGGTGTCCCAATGATGTATCCTATATAGAGTATAACGAATTGAGTTCCATGACTATAAATTTCTGCACTTCCTCCGAATAGAGAAGAAGATGATGTATAAACGGTGAGTAAAGAAAATGCTACGGGTATGATACCTTGATTTTGGTTTCCCATCATATATTCCTAAAGAAAATACTCACAAAATAAAAACAAATTTACGATTCCTTAAAAATCGTTTAAATAAATATTACTTGAGTAGTTTTTTGTTTGCCACCCGTAAATCGAAAATACACGCCAATCGCTGATGATATACAAATAATTACACCAAGTACAACATAATCGACAATTCCAAAAGCCATGATAAATAAATCACGAAGATCTAAGATTGCAATTTTAGATATTATTAAAATATGTCAAAAATTAATATTTTAAGAAAAAAAATTAATTTATTAAAATAGAGTAATAATTCTAATATTCTAAAGTGAGTACATCTCCAAAGACCTTAGAATATCTTACTAGATTACTTTATAAGTGTTTACAACCGTAACTATTTTTTTAATAAATAAACTAGCGTCGTTATACAAGATAACATATCTAACTGTCTAAACTTCATTTATTAAGTAATAGCAAAAAACCAAACATAAAAATTATTTTCGTTATTCTCACATTATTATGAGATATGTGAACTTACTGAAATTATTCAAATATAGTTGTATATAAACATGCTTTATCAATTTTATAGGTTTTCTACAATGTAACTTATATTAAAATAAAAATACTGAAGTTTTTTGAGAAATATTATTGCTTCAAAAAATATAGTTATTTTTTTTAAATTTATATTGAAATGTATAAAAAATAAGAAATTTAACACTTAATTATATTTTATCCTTCTATACACTAATTAAGTCTATTCAATTATACTTTAGTTTTGAATGGCTTAATAAATATTTTATAGCATATTTTTTTTTTTTTTAATATATGAGGAAGTTAAATTCTCAGGGAATTAAAAAACTATTATTTAACGAAAAAATTAATTGAAGATGTAATTTGCAAATTAAACAAATAAGTAATAAAATATTTCAAATTTTATATAAATTACTTTTATTTACACGGTAAGCTTAAATTTTAACGTAAAAATGCACAAACAAATATGTTACTTACCTTTTATGAAAACATGTAGAAGTGGTTATTTGATTTACATTCAATTATTGGTATTTTAAAATTATTTTTATTTTTAATTCAAAACTGCAAGTTGATATTTTATGAAGTTTAATTTAATTAAAAACAAACTGACATTTTATCATATTTAAATAAAAAATACAACTGTAACCAATCTTAAACATAATGTTTATTGTTATTTTTTTATTCTTTGCTTAGTACCATTATGCTCGACTTATGTAGTGTCAATACATAGTATTTAGTAATGTAATATTTACATAATTGATTATTAACTCTGTAATGACTAATTTAACAAACATGCATAATATAATTATCTTTGAAAACATAACAAACGTATGGTAAATATTTCTTCATCAATAATAATTATATTCATATAAATTGAAAATGTACTATTTTACTGACTGTGGGTGTATATATATAAAAAAAAATTATTTATTACAATGCAAAAAACAAGTTTTAGTTATAGGTTTTTTATAATATTAATCTACGACAAAACAAATTATTTAGACTATTTTATCATATCTAGAGGGTCCGTGAGAACAATATACACAAATCTAATTAATAAAATAAATGAGTAGGTAGGTAAAACTTTTGAGCCAAAATATAATTTTTCTATACATTCATAAATGTCAAGAAAAAACGTAAAAGCTGTCTATTTTAAAAATTATTTCTTACTGGAAATACTGGCAACACTGGTCGCTAATGCGTTGAAGAAAACAGTAATGACAAATTATATTATTCTTTTTCAAGTCACCGGCAATTAAATGTCGAGCAACTAAAAATGCACATTTAATACTGCAACTCTACTAGGTTATATAAGATGTCCCATCCTGATTTACTAATTTTAACAGTAGTTTATATAGTA